CCTCTCTCTCTCTCTCCCCCCCCTCTCTCTCTCTCTCTCTCTCTAGATATAGATATATATCTATATATAGTGTGTGTTTAAAAAATATTTATATACTAAAATAAATATTGTACTCTTACTGTCTTGTAGGAGTGTAAAAACCCAGAAAATCAGAAGGTACGCCAAAGACTCAAAGCTAAAGAATGGGATGAGCTACAATCAAAAGGGAAGAAAATTAATGTGCTGAAACCTATCTTGATTGGATGTATATGGTTGGAAGGTAGTAAAGGGGAGATTGCTTTCCTGCAAAAATTTTCTACTTGTGTTTTGGATTCTTTCATCCCCATTGACGACGAGATGGTTCAAGAATCCACCAGTCGAAAACTAGAAGACAGAGCAAGTAAGCCATATTTTGATACAATTTCAATTAAAGCTTTTTCATATTTTGTATATTTGAAAATAACCAGTAATGATATGACGCAATTACTTCCTGATGACTTAAAACTGCACTAGTTTACACACTAGTCAGTAAAAATGTAATTTCTTTTAAGCTCATTGAAGGACACAGTGAAGTAGATCTGCAACCATAGGGTATTGCGCCACCTGCAGGAGGACGCTAGGCACAAGACACCTCTGCTGGTGGCCAACCCTTATCTGCTGATAAAGTCTCCAGATTTTTTTCTACAATAAATAGCTCAGAATTTCTCTGGACTTCTTTCCTGCTTTTTTCTTTCATTTGGCTGGATCTTCAAGAAAGTGCCTTCAGGGTGACCCCCTGAATGACTGTGGATCCTGCAGACCTACCCCGTACGTCCAGCTAGTTCATGCAGACTCTACTACAGTGGGTTGGCTGCAACTACTACTCCCTTCCATGGAGTGGCCTGTGGGATTTGCTCCCAGTGGGGTACATATGACTGGGGGTCTCGGCTGCCCAGTTACAATACTTCTCACAGGCAGGTGGCTCCCAGACTACGGACGGTGGCGGCCCACCATCCCTGTGAAACCATGGTTGTTGGGTGACTACCTGTGCGTCTGCCCACCTTTCGTTGACACCTTCCTAGCTGCTGGTCCTGTCTCATCCAGCATGCTTTTTGAGGTGTGTTTGGGGGTCCTTGCCTCCTCACTTTTATGGGGCTGTTGCCCTTTAGATCCTCACTACAGGTCTGCCTGACCTGTGAGCCGGGCGAAAGCCTGTTCTGTGCCTGCAGTGGCACTGCGGTCGCTCCTGTAATCGGCCAGGTGGCCATACATTAGCCCAGTGGGGGAGCGCTGCCTTTTCTTCAGGTCTGGGTGGCTGGGGAGGATCCAGGCTGCTGCACCCCATGGTGCCTGTGTATTGGAGTACACTGCAGTCGCGCCTGTGTCTTCCAGCGACCCTGGTTTGGCTGAGGGTGACCGAAAATCGATACTGCCACTTGTGGCCTAGCAGGAGGTGTACTACATGTCCCATTCTGTCACTCATCATCCTCATCGTATTGCGATAGAGGTAGAGCATTTCCAATTCGTGGTTAGATCTTTTGGTCTAACCACGTTCCTTTTGGTCCTCGGGTGTTCACCTAATCCTCTCTCTCTCTCTCCCCCCCCTCTCTCTCTCTCTCTCTCTCTAGATATAGATATATATCTATATATAGTGTGTGTTTAAAAAATATTTATATACTAAAAAAAATATTGTACTCTCACTGTCTTGTAGGAGTGTAAAAACCCAGAAAATCAGAAGGTACGCCAAAGACTCAAAGCTAAAGAATGGGATGAGCTACAATCAAAAGGGAAGAAAATTAATGTGCTGAAACCTATCTTGATTGGATGTATATGGTTGGAAGGTAGTAAAGGGGAGATTGCTTTCCTGCAAAAATTTTCTACTTGTGTTTTGGATTCTTTCATCCCCATTGACGACGAGATGGTTCAAGAATCCACCAGTCGAAAACTAGAAGACAGAGCAAGTAAGCCATATTTTGATACAATTTCAATTAAAGCTTTTTCATATTTTGTATATTTGAAAATAACCAGTAATGATATGACGCAATTACTTCCTGATGACTTAAAACTGCACTAGTTTACACACTAGTCAGTAAAAATGTAATTTCTTTTAAGCTCATTGAAGGACACAGTGAAGTAGATCTGCAACCATAGGGTATTGCGCCACCTGCAGGAGGACGCTAGGCACAAGACACCTCTGCTGGTGGCCAACCCTTATCTGCTGATAAAGTCTCCAGATTTTTTTCTACAATAAATAGCTCAGAATTTCTCTGGACTTCTTTCCTGCTTTTTTCTTTCATTTGGCTGGATCTTCAAGAAAGTGCCTTCAGGGTGACCCCCTGAATGACTGTGGATCCTGCAGACCTACCCCGTACGTCCAGCTAGTTCATGCAGACTCTACTACAGTGGGTTGGCTGCAACTACTACTCCCTTCCATGGAGTGGCCTGTGGGATTTGCTCCCAGTGGGGTACATATGACTGGGGGTCTCGGCTGCCCAGTTACAATACTTCTCACAGGCAGGTGGCTCCCAGACTACGGACGGTGGCGGCCCACCATCCCTGTGAAACCATGGTTGTTGGGTGACTACCTGTGCGTCTGCCCACCTTTCGTTGACACCTTCCTAGCTGCTGGTCCTGTCTCATCCAGCATGCTTTTTGAGGTGTGTTTGGGGGTCCTTGCCTCCTCACTTTTATGGGGCTGTTGCCCTTTAGATCCTCACTACAGGTCTGCCTGACCTGTGAGCCGGGCGAAAGCCTGTTCTGTGCCTGCAGTGGCACTGCGGTCGCTCCTGTAATCGGCCAGGTGGCCATACATTAGCCCAGTGGGGGAGCGCTGCCTTTTCTTCAGGTCTGGGTGGCTGGGGAGGATCCAGGCTGCTGCACCCCATGGTGCCTGTGTATTGGAGTACACTGCAGTCGCGCCTGTGTCTTCCAGCGACCCTGGTTTGGCTGAGGGTGACCGAAAATCGATACTGCCACTTGTGGCCTAGCAGGAGGTGTACTACATGTCCCATTCTGTCACTCATCATCCTCATCGTATTGCGATAGAGGTAGAGCATTTCCAATTCGTGGTTAGATCTTTTGGTCTAACCACGTTCCTTTTGGTCCTCGGGTGTTCACCTAAGTTGTTGCGGCGCTGTGGGATTTCCATAGTGGGGTATCTTGATGATCTTATCTTGAGTGGAGACTAATTTGAAGTTGGTGGCCGACCTAGCTATCGCGGTCCCATCGCTAGAAGAGTTTGGCTGGATCCTGAGCTACAAGAAGTCCAGACTGTCTCCCTCCCCACGGCTGGAGCATCTGGGCCTGATCTTAGACACCACCCAGGCAAGGGTGTTCCTCCTTCTGAAGAAGCTTGAGAAACTTTGATCTCTTTTCAGTCTGCTGCGCTTTCCCAGGTGGGTGTCAATCCACTTTTGTATGCAAGTTGGACAATGTCATGGCCGTGGCTTACATAAATCCTCATGGCTCAACAGGGAGTGCAGCCACGGCGCGGAAGGGGCCATTCTCTCCTGGGCAGGCCGATTTTACCTCAGCAAGTTCATGTAGATCGGTTCGTGGCCCAGGTCCATGGGCGGATGCTCTGGTGGCTCCATGGGACTGTTAGTCTGATTTATGCTTTCCCCCTAGTGCACCACCTTCTGGTTTATTTCCATAGGAGGCAGAGTGGATTTCTTTCACTCGTGGGTCCAGATTGGCCACAGAGGGTGCAGTATGCAGACTTTGTGCATCTGGTTGCTCGGCACACCCACCCATTTCAGCCGGAATCTTTGTCAGGGTCCCGTCTTCGAACCTGCTTTGCAGTCGCTGGGTTTGTTGTCATGGCTGTTGAAGGACCAGCGTTCGCTTCCGTTCTTCCCACTATGCTTAAGGCACGCAAGTTTGTTGTGCTAAATATCTAGTACAGAACGTGGAAGGTTTATTTTGCGTGGCGTGATGCTGGGTCCCTCCCACACTTTTTTCTTCGATGAGTAGAATTTTTACCTTCAGTTGGGGGGGAGGAGGAGGAGGAGGAGGAGGAGGAGGAGGAGGAGGAGATCAGTGTCTGTCCCTGAGCGCAGTTAAGGGCTGAGTTTTGGCTCTGGCCATACTTTTTCAGTGGCCTTTTGGCATCCCATTCCCCCCTTCTCCATTGCCCCTTAAGATTTTAATTTGTTTTGTGCAAGTTACAGGCTTCTGCCTTTTGAGAATTGAAGGTAGCTACCGCAATGAACTCGGCCACAAAAACGGCCACTTGTTGAGACAATGACCTCTATTTGGCAGGTTTCAGAGCTGGCGGTCTTGTCGTTCAAGTCCCCTTTTCTGATTCTTCTCAAGGACATGGTTGTGCTCTGACCCAGGCCATCTTTTCTTGCAAAAGTTGTTGTGGCCTTTCATCTTGGCATGGGTATTATTATTTCTCCTTGCCCTAGCCTGCCCATAGAAAGGATGGAGCTTTCAATTACTTGGATGTCAATTATTTTCTTATCTACTTAGGTGTTAAAGCATCCTTTCATAATTAGATACTCTGTGGTCACTATTCTCGGAAGAGCCAGGCTGCATCTTCTGCTACCATCTCACGTTGGATTTGCAACACGATTGTTCAGGCCTAGGCTATCAGGGGTCAGGAACCCCCTTTTTCAGTTGCATCTCCTTCTACTAGTGCTGTCAGGGCTTCCTGGGCTTTGTCAGAGACAGTTTCTCTGGTTTGTAAGGCTGTCACTTGTGCTTCTGTTAATACTTTTTCCATGTTCTACAAAGTTGATGTTTTGGCGTCTGTGGATGCCAGTTTTGGGTGCAAGGTTTTGCAGGCAGCCCTCTAGTCGGGTTGTTCTTGCCTCCGTATGTTGCACTGCTCTGTGATGTCCCTATGCTTCCAGATCTACAATATCATAAACTGTCCTTCAATGAACGCAAGTGATAATAGGAATTATCTTCTGTTCATTGAAAGACACAGTAAAGTAGATCATATATCTGAAACCACAGGGTATTGTGCCACCTGCAGAAGAAGGATGCTAGGCACACAACAAAAGACAGCCTAGGGGCAGCCTCTGCTGGTGGCCAACCCTCCACTTGCCGATATCGGTCTCCAAATTTGTGCCCAGCGTAAGGAGCTAAGAATTTTCACTTGCAAATTCTTCCCTATTTTTTTTTCCTCTATGTTGGCTGGATCTTCAAGCAAGTGCCATCTGGAATAAATGCTGGATTATCATGGTTCCTTGTAGTCCTACCCTATGGCCATAAAGTGTATGTAGACTGTGCTATGGTGAGTCGGCTGCGACTGCACTCTATTCTTGGAGTGGTCTGTGGGATACTCTCCCAGTGGAGTACATATGATGTGTGGTCTCGACTGCCCTGTCACAGTACCACAGGCAGGCGGTGCCCCGACTACGGTCAGGTGACGATTCAACATTCCTTCAGTGCCCTGGTGTTTTGCTGCAATGT